TGTAGAGGTCCAGAGCAAAAGCTGGTTTGTTAATGGATGTAAATTAAGGTGCAAAAGGAAGAGCATGGGTCCTGTTCGCTAAGAGTGAAACAAACGAGACCAGCTTGTCGAAGGGGTGGGTGCGTGGAGAGAATAAGAAAAATGGGAACTGACAATGCAGTCCATTTCTGAAGGTATGGAGTTCAATATTGAGACTTGCAGGCGGGACAGTGCAGAAAATGAAGTGTACCTTAAGCTTGTGTTGTGTATCGTTATAAAATTGCAACCAGCGCAGGACAAGGAACAAGGTTTATTGAAATGGCAAGCAACTGAGAGGTCAAGTTCGTTCCTATGGGCAGCAGAGGTGTTCTGCAAGATGGTCACCCAGTCTGTGTTTGGTCTCGCCGATGTAAAGGAGTCCAATGAAGCGGCTTTTGTGTTGGGAGAAAGTTAGGTAGATTGCAATAAGTTCAGGCCAGCCTTCGAACAGTGCAATAAGGGAAACCAAACCTTGGGTACATCCTATACTTCTATGGCTGGTTTATCCTGTCCTCTTTCCTAACTGTTACCCAAGACAAATGGCAACAGTGGTTAATATCTGAAGTTGTTGAACTCAATATTAAGGTCAGAAGGCTGTAAAGTGTATTGCAGACTTTAAGTGGATAGAAGATGGCATATGACAAATGCTGATTGGATCAAATGAAGTAGAATCAGTGAGAGCTTGAGTGGGAGATAAACATGGACCAATCGGACCCAATGGCCTACATGTTTGTAAATTCTTTATAGTTAGCATTCAGACCCATGTGTTGGAATTAATTGGTCTAGCTGACAAGACGAGAAATTGTTGATTTATATTATGATTATTCAGAACCATTCTGGAGAAGGGTCACAGGATCCAAAACTCTGCTTTCTGTCCACAGATGCTTCCAGGCCTGATGTGTTTTTCCAGTGATTTCTGATTTTGTTTCACTCCATCCTACTTGATATAATCCTGTCTTCTTCCTGATTGTCTTGTATTATGAGCTGTGTTCCCTGTATTGTTTTTTGTTTGGAGTGTCTTGGTAATTTCAGTTTGGCTGGAGTACCAGATAACTTATGACTTCTATGGAGACCTTCAGGTTGCGGCATGACTGCACAGCAAAAAGCAAATACGCAACCTCTAGTTTTGCACTGTACAACAAGTCTGAATATTTCATTTAAGTTTACTCTGTCGAATCTTTACATAATCTTAAAACCATCCAGGTTTAGAGAAAAGAGCCCCATTTTGTTCTGCATTTCCAGACAATGCCTGCATATCCTTTCAATAATATGAAGTAGGGGACAATGAGATTAGCTCTCTGATACCTATCATTGGAGTTACAGGGTATGGTTCTGAAATGGCATTTGTGGCATACATATTCTGGCATAGCCCATGCCACGATAGATCAATAGGACATGTATGTGTCAGAAGTATACAAAAATGATTATGATGAGAGTCATTATGTAACTGATTTGACCCCAATATTGACCTTTTTTTGCCTCGCCTTTCCAGGTTATGCCCTTTCCTTGCCTTACAGCTGAAAATTTGTTCAAAAGCAGGAAGGATTCTTAACCCCTCTCAACCAAAGCCATTTTTAAAAGACTATCAATCACCTTCAAGAGAATTGGTAATTAACTTCCATTAGCTTTATCTAAAATTTTATTGAAGTTCTTTATGGTTTCCAGAGTTGCTCAAAGCCAGTAATGCCAAAAGAACATAAATAGGAGTAGGCCATTCAGTCCCTCACGTCTACCCACTATTCAGTAAGATCACGGTTGATCTACTCCAGGCTTCAGCTCCTTGTGGTCCTCAAACTTTTAATTGTTGAAAAATTCAACTACTTTCTTTTTAAAATATTAGCAGTGATCTAAACTCTAGACCTCTCGAGTCAAGAATTCCAGTCATTTGTTACCGTCTGGGAGAAGAAATTCCTTCACATCTCACTTTTATATAGATGTCCCTCATTTTGTATCTAAGTCCCCTAGTTCCAGATTCCCCTACTCGCAAAAACATCTCAACATCTACCCAGTCAAGCAGCCTCAGAATCTTGTACATTTCAATAAGATAACCCCTTTATTCTTCTGAACTTGAATTATTAACTGCCTAATCTGTTTAGCTGTTCTTTTAAGTCAATCCCGTCATCCCAGGAAGCAGCCTAGCAAACCTCATTTGAACTACCTCCAGTGCCAGTAAATCCTTTCTTAAATTGGGCACCAAAACTGTACACAGTACACCTGGTGCAGCCTGTATATTTGTAACAAGATTTCCCTATGTTTGAACTCCAAACCCAACACAATAAAGGCCAAAATTCCATACGCTGTCTTAATTATTTTCTGTATCTGCATGCTAACTCCTCGTTTTACACGCAAAACAGCACCCAGATCTCTCTGCTGCACTTTTTCAGAGTCTCCATTTTAAAAATAGTCTGCTTTTTGTTTCTTCCCATTAGAACCTTGCTTATCTGATATCTTTTGTACATCTGTAGTGTACTCCATCATGAAGACTGATTCAAAATATTGATTTAAATTGTCTACCATTTCCCATTTTCCATCCCCCAAGTGACCGCACTCCATTTCAGATTCACACACACACCCACCACCATATACCTGTTGAAGTCTTGCTATTTGTTTTTCTATTTCTTGCCAATTTACTTTCATAATCAATTTGCTTCCTGTTTATTATCTGGTGAGTCTTTTGCTGCTGGTTCTTAATAAATTCATAGGATCGCTATAGTGCAGAAAGAAAGCCATTCAGCCCATCGAGTCTGCACCAACACTCCGAAGAGCATCCTGCCCAGACCCCTGTAACTTACCATGGCCAATCACCTAGTCTGCATGCCCCTGGACTCTATGGAGCAATTCAGCATGGCCAATCCACCCAGACTGCTGAACAAAACCAGCACATCTGACGGAAACCCACACAGACACCTGAGAAATTCCCAATCCTCTGACCTACCAGTTTGGATACTTTTCCTTTTTCTTTGGCTATTCTTCTTGACCTGCTTTGTTCATCACAAATATTCATCCTTCTCAATGTTCTTTTTTGATCAGGATAAATTTTGTTGAGCATTATGAAACACCTGTCACTGTTCATCTACAGATTTTCCCTTTTGTTTATTTGCCTAGCCTGTTTTAGACAGCTCTTCCTACTGGTTTGAGACCTGAATTTCTCCCTCAAACTGAATTTAAAATTCTACCATGTTATGACAAATAGCTTTTAGAGGGCCCTTAACTATGAGATCTCTTGATCATCAACATCATTACGCATTGTTAGATCTAAAATAGCAAATGCTGCTCTAGGAAACAGATCCTGATGCAGTCTACGGATCTGTCTTCCATGTTACCCCTGCCCATCTGGTTTGCCCACTCAATATAATAATTAAAATCACCCTTCTTACATGCCTCTATTATTTCCTGACACATTCTGAGGCAATTCTTCAGGGGCCTAAAGACGACAACTCTTGTTCTTCCTTATTTCCAGTCAAACAGTTTCACACCACAAGCCATTGCACCTACATCACTGCTCATCACCACACTAATGATATTTTGATTAAGAAAGCAACCCCACCTTTCTCTTTTGCCTAATTTTCTGCAATGTTGAACACCTTGAATATTGAGTTTCTAATTCGTCACCCT